TGAGCAGTCGGTAATAATGGTAGAATTTGTAACCAAAAATGCTGCATATCCTGGAATATGTGTAATCTTGAATTTAGATTTCATTTATTATTATCAATGTTTGGCACAATAAAGTTTAGGTGCAATGTATAATGTAAATGTATAATCACATATCTGTGAATGCATATTTACATCTGATGGTCAGGCTGCACACTCACTATGGCCCCCATGCCTACAGTATACAGGTCAGAGCAAATAAATCTCTACCACTAGTTTCTTAATTGATGATGATTATGATTTTAGGGCACAAACCACATCAAGTTTCAAATGCATTTGGTTGGAATACAAGGGGCGTATTTACTTATCAAAATGTTTTATTTGGTGATTACTAGTTTGGATATGCCAGGATAAACTTATCACCTCATATGCAGCAGTATATATTTACTATTTATAGTGATTCTTTAATGTTTGTATATGTATGTATACATATTTATACATGTGTATATGATATATATATGTATGACATACGATTGTAGGCCTATTTAAATTAACTTTTTTCTGCAGTTTCTACAACCTTGTGTTTATTTTCTATCATTCTGCAATTAGTTACAAATTATTTATAATTCTAAAGAAATTATAAAAGAAAATTATGAAAAAAAGGTTTGTGTAAGGCTTCTCTCCTTTAGCTAAACTCTTGAACTTTCCAACAATTCTTACTCAGTACAGAAGGGAGAGGGAAAGGGAAAGTGTCATTCTAGAATACCTTATTTCTCAAAAAGGGTTCATGAACAGAGAGAGGGACCCTTTACTTTTTTCATGATATTGCTGAAAGTGTTTGTGTGTGTGTGTAAATTGTCACAGTAATAAAAAACTCAATTTGTTTATTAGATAAAACACTATATAAATGAAGCAGAAAATCACGAAATAGATTTAGCTGTCTATTATTTGTTAAATATAGTATCTCAAATAGTTAGTAGTATTCATATATTTATTATTAATTGTTAATTAAACTGTTAATATTATCCAGTTATTGAGATGTTTTATTATTTCATTTGTTATAAATTTCAACAACAATTGATGTATAAACTTTTTTTTCAGATTGTGAATGCAAATAACTGGTTAAAGTTTTCTGATGATGATCTCTTGGAGTCACTGGTGGTGAAAGTGTTGAACGATAATCAAAATTTGGTAAGTAATCATATTATGTGGCTTTAGTCCCTGAACCTCATTCCTTGATATATGATTTTCTGGCTTCCCTTTTCGTGCAGTGTGTGGAGGTCTGCAGTATGCTGTGTCTGGCTCTCATTTGCCTTGTGATACTTTCCTTTAGATTTTTACTGTACGTGAAGTTATAAGGGCTGAAATAATTGGTGGTTGCACTTCGACACATTTCGTTTATTCCTTCACTCTCATGGTTTTTCTCTCTGTCAGACTCTATTTCTCTCTCTCTCTCTCTCTCTCTCTCTCTCTCTCTCTCTCTCTCTCTCTCTCTCTCTCTCTCTCTCTCTCTCTCTCTTTCTTTATATATATATATATATATATATATATATATATATATATATATATATATATATATATATATATATATATATATATATATGTGAATGAGGAAAACACTCTACCGTGTTGATACTATGGTAGAAAAAACCACAATGCAAAAACTAGATTTATTGAAAATGAAAGTGAGACGACAGTTTCGGAATCCACCTGGATTCCATCCTCAGGTCTGGATTCAGACCTGAGGATGGAATCCAGGTGGATTCCGAAACTGTCGTCTCACTTTCATTTTCAATAAATCTAGTTTTTGCATTGTGGGTTTTTCTACCATATATATATGTATATATATGTTTTATATATATATGTCTAACATATCTCTTGTCCCTCACAGGTTAAGAAATACAGAGCAGGAAAGAAAAAGATGTTCAATGCTCTAATGGGGAAGGTGAGAGCAGCCACTGATAGCAGAGCAGACATGAAGAAAGTTAAAGAGATTATTACAAAGAAATTGACAGAATGAACATGGATAATTGTGTAAATATGGTACCTTTACTAGCATAAAGAAGATGGGACTCATGAGCAACATATTGGAACTATTTACCTTACCTCATTGTATATTCACAATTTGTAATGCTTTTTGTTTTTTCATAGATATTAGATGGGAAAATGTACTCTGTGTGAGGCATTAGCACAGATAGTGTTATGTAAATATGGTATCTACTTACCATGCTAATCATTGTAATAACTGATTATCTGTAAATAAATATATATTGGCATTTTCATAGATATAATTAGAGACAAATTGAATAATAATAATTTTTTTTTGTAATGAAAAATGTATACAGACAACTTGTGTGAGAATTGAACTTTCACGTCATAATCACAGATGACTACTTAGCATTATGACTGATGTTGACTTGTGCAGTGCATATTTCATGGCAAGGAAATGCAATGGGACATGTGTACAGTTTTGTGTATAAAGTATATGATATTATTTATTGAATTAAAGATTTTATAGCAGCTA